AAGCAGAGTGGCTGCAGATGAGCCAGGCGCCCTTTCCACCCATTTCTGGTGCCGGGAAGAACAGCAGCTCATGTTTTATAAAAGCAGCAAAGCAAGAAACAGAAAGTTTAGTCATTTAAGTAAAGCGAGCAAATGCACGCCTCCCCACAGCTTACTGCTGGGATGGAATAAAATACATATTTGATATATATGATATAAAGCAATGAAAGACACCCGAATGGCACTTGAACCTTCCCATACCCTGCTCGGTGCTTTGCAGCCCTGGAAAGCCCCAGGGTGCACTTGGCAGAGCTCAACCCACAAGCTTTGCCCAGGAAACGCGTCCTGGCTTGGGGCAGGGAGGGCAACCACCACCAGTGACCACCCCAGCAGCGCTTACAGCTGCCCCAACAGCCTCAAGGACTGGTTTCCCCCGAGACGATCTACCACGGTCCAACCGCTTCACCCTACAGGCGTTCAATGGCTCCGCGTGCCGGCCGGCATCCCGCGGCATCGCCTACCTTGTGCGAGTAATGCTGATCCACAATCCTGGCCAGCCCGAAGTCGCCGATCTTCAGCACCAGGTCCTCCGTGCTGATGAAAATATTGGCCGGCTTGAGGTCGCGGTGGAGGACGTTGGCCGAGTGGATGTACTTCAGCCCCCGCAGCAGCTGGTACATGAAGAGCTTGGCGTGCTCCTCGGCGAGCTTCCCCTGCTCCAGCAGCCGTGCCAGGTCCGTCTCCATGTACTCCTGGACGACGTACACCATGTTAAACTTGAAAAAATCCCCACGTAGGTTGGTCCCCTTGGGCCCCAACACCTCGTACACCTTCACGATGTTATCGTGGTCCAGGCGGCGGATGATTTTGATCTCCCGGAAAGCGTGCTTCATGCTCCGCGCGTCGCCGATGGTGATCTTCTTCACCGCCACTTTGCGGCAGCCCTTGCTGTCGAGGGCTGACAGCACCAGCCCCTTGGCTCCAAAGCCCAAGGGGCGAAAATTAAGGAAGCGACAGCCCAGGTCGTACCCGTACATGCTGGCGATACAGTCGCACTTCTCTGCCATCGCGGGCTCCGTCCTCTTTCGGCCTTTTCCTCTTTGTCACTTGAAAAGCTGGGAGAGTCGAAGGGCTTCCAGATCACAAACGTGGTTTGGAATCAAGTGCCTCATTATTACTCTGAGATGCCCATCGCTTCAAGACGACACGCAGACCCAGTGAAAATAGATGCAAGCACACAAAATGTTTTAAACTGGGTAAAAAACCAAGGGGTAGAAGGGACTCTCCAAGCAGTGTGAATAAATGCACTCCAGAGATCTCTAGCAAAACCAAATAGTTATTTTTCTTGAGACTAAAAGATCAGCGCTGCTACATTTTTGAGCCCCTTTCTCATTTTCCTTCTCCGATACCCCGAGACGATGCCAAAGCGTGGGGCTGGGAGCGCAGCCGGACACCTGGCCCTGTGACCCCGGCGTCTCAGTGTTGGGGCAGCCAGCCGGCCCCGCCACGTAGCAGAGCCCAGAGCAGCCCCATGGCCCCTCCACTTCCCCAAACCCTCCCTGCCCGCAAGTTTTGACAGCGTTTTCCCCACCAGCGAAGCGCATCCAGGCACTGGCCGGGCTCCCCAGCGGTCAACAAAGCTTCGCCTTTCTCGTTGCTCCCTTTTCGGTACGGGCAGACCCCATCTTCCCAATCAGCAGACAGAAATCTTGACAGTAGCAAGTATTTTGCAGACCAAAATTTGCTTTATTGGCTGCATTCAGCGCAGGGAGTTTCTACGTTTGCAGTTCCAGTACCTTCCCCCTGCACGTCTTTCGCTGGCGAAGCCAAGAGCCATCAGAACTTTACAGCTGGCTGGAGGAGTTCCCCGCGCTGCGCTGCCTGGTTATCTCTCAGCAGCTCTCAGTCCCACTCCTGGAAGAAAAGAGGAGAAGAATTCACTTGCTACCAGCACCACCTGCGCCCTGCCTATGTAACGGCTTGCTGAAGGTTAGTCATGAGCAAAGCTGTGACCTTTTGGGGACTTGTCAGTTATCTCCTCCAAAGGCGTGCAGCATTACCAGCATTTTTCAGATGGTTAATTTTTCCTTTTCAGTTTGCAATACAGAGAAAACTCTTCCTTTCCCCTTTATTTATTTTTTTTTTATTTTAATCTCCCTGAAAATGTTACAGAGTGATTCACAGCAGGCAAAGGTTCAACGGCACACTATGTCTCCAACCACCCATTTCAACCCTAATGCAAGGAAAGCACGGGCTGAACCCTCCCCGCCGAGCAGCTGTGATGGCCACAGTGTTTTTCATCTTATAATGACCAAAACTCCTTGGCCAGCTATGCAAATAGCCTTCAAAACCGCCTGCGAGGGTGGGATACCCCCCAAATTCGGGGTCCCACAGCAAACCTCGGCAGCAGCCTGCAGCAAACCACACCATTCCGGTGCCTCTATAACGACACACGCTCCGGCGTTGCTCAGCCCGGAGCACACCAGCAGCCAACGACAGGGCTCGTTTCTCCTCCGGCGTGCCGGGGGAAGGAGGAGAGCATCCTCATCAAGCCGCATCGTTAGCTGCGGGGATTTGCCATCCACCAGCTCCGCCAAGAGCCGCTCGGCACGGGAAGCCATCCCCCTGCTTCTCCAGCAGCTTTGCCGGTGATGAACTGATAGAGGGGATTGTAAGAAACGTGAAACTATAACAAAAAAGCCTTAATATTTTCCAGTTTTTAGTAGTCTTTAGTACTGTAACTCGTATTCCTGCATGCACAATGATCTAACGGTGTAACTGTTGCACTGATCCCCGTTTTCTCACTAAGGAATGTAGTGGAAGTACATGGACACAAGCTATCACTGAGTCGTCAGACAAAATAATCAAGTGAAACAAAAGTGGGCTTGGTTTCCAGCAAATAATTGGGATAACTGTGGGATAAAAGAGACTCCTAAATAATTCTACTCCAGACAGCTCAGCCTTGGGAGGTCAGATGCACCGAGCTCCAGAGATAAGGAGGCACCAAGAGAGCAACCAGACCAGAGCCAAACAACCTGCAGGACACGATGGACGTGATCCTAGAGCTGAGTCTGCACAGAAACAAAGGTCAATCAGTGAACAGCGTGATGAAGAGGATGGGCCTTCATCTTGGGATCCCCGAAGACCACCCAAAGATGCTAACCGACATGCGTGAAAGATATTTACATACGCTAATTAGTTCCTAGAAATAGAATGAATATTTACATGTGTGATTGTATTTAACCTGAAGCAACAGGGTGTCTGGTGCGCACGTTTGGAGGAGAAATCCCCCGTGTGCCCGGCGCTGCAATGAAGAATCCCTGCTCAACAGTGTACATTGTGCTGTTAGGTTTTTCCTACCGGATCTTCGAATCAGAACGCAGGGGTGGGACAACCTGGTGGGAAAGCAGGAGCTGACTTTATCTCTCACCGTGTCCTTCCTAAGGATGCACTCGGCACCCAGATGCCGCAAAACCACTTCCCCCATCTGCCCAAGTCCAGCAGCTACTCCGACAAGAGGCATGAGCCAGCTTGCAGCCTCCCAGCTTTGCTCTTCTCCTCCAGGAGGTCGCAGTTTCACAGACCCAAGGACTTCTCCATGCAAAAACATGCTACAAGATAGGCACAGGGTCCTATGGACCTCTTTGAAAGTACAGCTGACTAGAGAAATATATATATATATAAAAAATATACGAATGATAAAATTTAAGTTGTGTTTTTTTTGCCCCCTATTAGCATGAAAAGACTTAATGACACCCTAGGCATGAAGAAGCTGGAACAAATGAACGAGGACCCAACACAGGCACGGTGAGCCACAGCAGCGAGTTGCGGCGGCTGAGGAGCATGACCCCGTATTTCACAGCCTCTCTGTGCTAACACGTGCTCCTCCGAGCGATGGAGGAATCTCTTAACATGATGCCCTGGCTTTTAAAGAAAACGAAAGCAGCAGAGGAACCTTCCAGCACAACAGCAGATCTCCCTCTCGCTGCTGGCAATGGTGTAACGGGCAAATACCGACGGCTGCTGGGGACCAGGATGCAGATTTAGCCAGAGGATCCCACTACTTTGGGGATTTTCCTGACAAAATGTCATTTTCCGGTGGCAGCTGACCACGCAGGGGTGGCCACAGGCGAGGGACCACCTCTCACAGATGCTCCAGTTGGGAAAAGATGGTTCAAAGCCCTCAGAGCACTCCAGCCCTTTGCAGCTTTCAACCTACCACGTCTCCCTGCTGACGTGGATGAATCTGAGGAGTGAGGACACTCTCTCCTGCCCAGCCCCTGCCCCAATGCCTCGTTTCTCTGCACCCCCTCTTTGCCACGAGAGCGGCGTGCAGCCCGATGCCCCGTGCCACCCGCCGAGGGGACCACCGGGTCCTTTGGGAGACCCACAGGGACCACCCAGCCGCACGACAAGGGCTGTGACCTTGCACGGGGATGTCCCAGCTTACCAACCACTCCCAGTGCTGCTCAGAGAGGAAAAATAAAATAAAATTATGGTGGATCTGCTCCCGTTGTGTTCTCCGTGCCAGATTAATGCCTCTGTTATAGCCCTTAATTGCCAGAGCTGCTCTATTAACCCAGCAGCGGGTCCTTCGCCCTGCAACCCCCAAGCATCGGGCATCGCCGGCGGGACCCTCCTGCTCTCTGACAGAAGTTACCCAGAGCAACGAGAGGGAAAACATCAAACGCCGAGCTCCGTTTCGGTTTGCAGCCATCCATCGTTCAAGGTAGAGGAGAACCGTAATGCTTCAGGCCAGCACGGAGCAGCTGCTCGACGAGGGAACCAGTTAACGGTTAAAATAAAGACGGATGGACCATACGAGGGCAGGGAGGGATGAAGGCAGGGCAGGGGTACCCTCCGAAGAGCATCTGCCAGCAGTCACCAAGCAGTTTGGCAAAGGCTGCTTCCTCCTGTAGTTGGAAGCAAAGATAATTACAGCCTCTTTTCAATCCAGCAATTATCTAACGCTGGATTTGCACGCACGGATCGAAGGGAGAAAGCCGCTCTTGCTGTTAGGAAGCGGGGCAAGGCAGAGTGGTGTCTTGGTCTGCAGTCACAGGAGGGCAAAAAAGGAGGAGAAACAAGGAGTGAAGGGCAAAAGGAAGGTAAATAAATCCCGAGGTTCTGCTCAGGAATGAGCACCCTGTGAGGGAAGGTGACCCCTGCCTTGCAACCCAGCTGCATGGCTGTGGGAAGGGAGCTCATGCAGCTTAAACCCCAAGACGGTGGTGGTGGTGGGTCTGAGGACCACAGGAAGGTTTAAGCGTAGGCTGGGACCCGATGAGCAACAAGGGAGCTGCAAGAGCTACGTCTGGCTGCCGCACAACCGAAGCTTTTTCACTTGTGGTGACTAACCTGAGCTTCCTAAGCCTACGCTGAAGACCTCAGTCTCTGCACGGGTCTCCTGGATGTCCGAGGAGGAAAAAAACACCAAAAAAACCCAAGAAAAGTAGCCAAAATTTCCTACTGATAAAGGGAACTCTGTGAAACAGCTTGGGTCAATACACTTCAACAAGGTGCCACGTCGGGTTTGAGCTCCATCTCTGTATCTCGCCTCTAAGCGCCCCCACCCAGAACCCACCACGCTCCTCAGCTTTTCGGCACGACGAGCCCAACTCCACAGGGCCTTGCTGAGACCACGCAGGGCTGGGTGGGATATGGTGCTAGCTCCCACGCCAAACTTCTTGGCTTACTCTAGATGCAATGGAAGGAAACCACGTTTTGCCTCGTCAGCTTAATTATTAATAATTAGTATAGTTCTCAAAGCACTGAAAGGGAAAATGCGCTGCGTAAAGGGAAGAAAGAGCCCTGTTTTGTCTCACGAGCAGAGTGCTGGTCTTCACGGTGCTCCTGGCTGTGTCTCAGTCCCTGGCTGAGTGCTGACCCTGCAGCACCTTCTGCAATCAGAGGGGCCGAGGCAGAATCACCCCTAAAAGCCCGGCCCCGGAGGATGCCAAGCAGTGCTTCTGTCCTTGCTCCTGCGGCTGGGTCCCTCGTACTGAGAGGGGCTGCTGGTGAATGCCTGGAGACGCACGGTGACCTAGGGACCACCAGGCAACACGCT